TGACAAGATTCTTTTTCATGAATTCAATGAAAAAGGAGTATTATTTTTATTCCATTGCTGCATTGTTTAGTTTTGGCAGGAAGGAAGCTGGTAACAACCACAATGAAATATCTCTTGTAACACGGTCGGTTTTGACCAAAATTACACTGTGACAAGTATCATTAGAAAGTTGTCTTGTAAACTGAAACAAGAAGAGAAGTTGTAATTGAACGGACATTCAAAATACTGCCATTAAAAATTAAAAATAAACCTCGACGAACCTCCTTAGCTTCCAAGAGCTGTTTGTGAAGGGATTGGTTTCTCTGATATAATTCACGATACATGTCAGCGTCTGCATGATCCACTGAACGCTGTTGTTGAAAAGAAGAGAGAGAGAGAGAGAGAGAGAGAGTTCACCGTGAGAGAGCTCAGTCGAGGGTTCATAGACAGCCAGCAAAAGTCAACTTGTTTCACAAGTAAAAGCAAAAAATCCTCCTTCGCGTTTTATTCCCTGTCGGTCTTTTTTTACGTCACTAAGCTGAACGTCAAAATTAATTAGAGAAAGTTACAAAATTCAGTGAGCAGACCTTCCCTTACCTAATAACAAGATTATCAGGTTTAGATATCATTTAGAGCAATCGCTAAGTGTGGTAATGCAAAACCAAAGCAATGCGAATTACTTTTGACACTCAAGTGAAAACTGCTTTGAACAAGGGAAAATGTGATACAGTTCTCAGTAATACCTGTTCAGCCGTGCGGCCAGCAAGGTCTCGCTCTAAACCTTCAATATACTCCATTAGTTGTTTGTTCCGAACCTCTAACGCTTCCATTTGTCTGTCATGACCAAGAACTTTCTGTCGCCTTAACATCTGATTCTGACACGACAAAACAGTGCAAAGTCAACAACAACATGGTCAGAGTAAATTTCCAATAATAGAGAGGAAGAACAAAGAAAGTAACCGATGATTTCCTTGCTAAGGTTGTTGTCCATTTGTGTGCTGGTTACTGCGAAAAATTCGCATCTTGAAACCGGATTGAACATTTTTAAGCACATAGCCAACTTGAATTTGCTTTCACAAGAACGACCGAGGAATAACTGTAGAGAGTTACATTGCCTCACATAGGACAGGTTAAATGGCAAAATCAAGCCAACTCCAGCTATCACCAACAATCAAATGGAAACTCCTCTTTTTATGAGGAAGTTGTTGTTAACAACTTTGCTTCATGGGCTGTTAGAAAAACCTAGTTGTTGTAGATAGAAACAACATACCACCAGAAGTATATTTATTTTAAGTTGTAATAACTTTTATACCTCTTCTTCCAGCTTGTAGATGTTCTGTTTAAGGTCCTGTACAACTTCGTTTGTGACCATAGGCGGACCACCAACCACTGATTTGGCAGAACTGTAACCAACAATGACATCAGTGCAATGAAAAAAACAAACTTGTATCACATGTGAAGCGTTCACTGAAATTCGTTTCATTGAAATAGTACCTTTTTAACCTGTTGTGGAGCCCGGCCTTATCCTTCTCAGCCCTACTGACCGCATCTCGTAACATGGTGATGGTCTTTTCTGCTTTCTCCAGCTCGCGTGTTTTCTCTGCTAGTTTTCCTCGCAGCGTTTCCACTTTCTGTTGCCATTTCTTGTTATCTTCCCATCGAGCCACGCCCTCAGTAACCACAGCCGCCTGCAAAATGAACAGGTTCAGATTTAGCTTTGCAAACAATTTAACGGTCCGCGCGGTGGCATCATGGTTAGTGCGCCCGTCTCCGGATCGAGCGGTCCGGGTTCGAGCCCTGGCCGGGGACATTGCGTTGTGTTCTTGGGCANGTCGCTTCATGCTACAGAAACCGGGATAAGCTCCGGCCTGATGGGCCACTTGGCTCGCATGCAGACTTTACCTTTGTTTTTACTATCTGTCACATGTGGACTAGGAAAGTACAACAGAACCACAGAACTGTGTTCCTTTGACTGAACCACTCTTAGTACTAATTGCACGTTTTTTGCTTTGAATTCTCATTGGTCAACTGCATTATTTGAGTTGGTTGTGACTGTTAAAAAAAGAAGCACTATATACAAGAAGATCTCATGGTCGCCAAACAATACGAACACTACAGGACCACAAAGAGTCTCCGTATTAACGAAGCGAGTGACTTGGGGACCAAAACCATCACCCCCACACTGAAAAATCAAGTGGGCGACCGCAAAGCGGAGTTCAACCGTAACAAAACAACGTAAAACTTGTCACGCAGGACCTGTAAACTCAGTGTTATTACACTTACTCTGTCTTGCGTGATCATCTCCTCAACAACAGGTTTTTCGGTACCAGTCCCCTCTTCACCACCCTCCACAGTCTTCTGTTTCTGTTGCTTTAGTTTTTCTTGAAGCGTTTTCACCTTCTCTCGTAGTTTTTCTAATTCAGAACGTTCTTGAGCAAGCTGGTGACAGCGATAAAATACCAAATTAAACCTTCCAAGAAATATCAAATTATACCTTCTATTAAAGTTTTATTTAAGTTTCCAACTCGAGTATCTTCTAGCTACAATTTTCTTCAAAAAGATCCTAGATCAAGAGTCAACTTTGCCTACAGTTTAAGTCTCTGAGAGGTAAAAAAAAAATGACTGAATTATGCTGTTGGATACAGTTTGTATCCAAGACGTTTTTAGGTGATCCATTACCGTATTCCTTTCAGATCTTAATTCCTGCTCTTTTTTCTCAAGCTCCTCTTGAACTGTCTCCAACTCTTTCAGTTCACTGCCAAGTTTCAACAATGCAGAGTCCTTTTTAGAAAGATCCTAGAAAAGGAATAAATTGAAAACTTAACACTAAATCAAGACATTTTTTTGTCAATTTGACAAAGTTAAGTCGCTGTGGAATGCTTAGCGTCTAGAAGGAAATAGTCCGCAAAATAGCATGGAAACACGAATGACTAGAACTCTTACACCCGTGACCTGTCTCCCTAATCTCGTCATTTCTTTTATCGTATATCACTAACGGCTGACGTTCTTCAGCTTTATTGGGTGACTAGAAATCCTATACATTTGGGGAGCGGTCATAACTAGTGAAACCGGACAAGGCCCATTGTTATTGCCCTTCTTTCCTTCACAGTGTTGTTGTTCGTTCTTTGGCCCCGTACACAACGTCCCATACACGTTATGAAAAGCTAGAAATGCTACAATCCGCAGGACAGAAAATTACTACTAATCACAAACTGTTCAGGACGGACAAAGAGTAAAGTAAGGCTAAGAAGTCTGACACTTCATTCTCTTTGCCCTTTACTCTTAAATAATATGATTGTACCTGCTTTAATCTGTCCTTTTCTTCTAACAACGATGATTCCTTATCTCTCTGTTTCTTGAGCTCCTTTTTGAGTTTCTCCATTCTCTCTTGAAGTTCCTCAATACGCGCCTTAAAATTCACAAAAATTGCGAAAGACAAATTAGTGCGGCTCAGTGATAAACAAAGAAAGCCTAAAATTTGAAGAAAGATGGACAAGCATCACATAGTATCAAGCTAGTTTTGTTTTAGACAAAGTTGGACAATCACACGACAAACCTGTAATCCAGCAGTCTCTTTCTCTACAATGTGTTGTACATTGGCCTGCTGTTCGGCTTTTCTTGCATGAGCCTACGAAAAAACAAATATGTAATCAGTGTGAAGCGATGGGACGTCCAAGATTAAGTTTCTTATTGACATATTTGATTTTAGACGTGGTACAGCACAGTATCATGAATTCGGATGTTTTTACCTTTGATTTAAATGGGACTGGCAAGAAAGGAAAGGCTGGGAGGGCAGGAAGAGAGAATAGTGAGGGGATGGAGAAAAGGTTGTGGGGGGAAGAGAGGGAAGGCAGTGGCGGGGGGGGGGAGAAAAAAGGTAGTGAGGGTGGGAGAAGAGAAGGTTGTAAGGTGGAGGGGAGGGGAAAGAAAAATGTCGTTTGGCAAGCAGAAAAATGATAAGTCTGCGCTACACATTTGAATGGAATTGACCTACCTGAACGTTTTCCTCTGCAGTTGATACCATGTCAGCTCTGAGCTGCAGGAGAGCTTGACTCAGGGACTGCAGAGCGAACAGAACACATCATTAATCAGCCAATAGCACAATGAAGAATATTTGCCAAAGAAACACACGCATACTTTATAAACGGGTTGGGATAAATTTAGAAGGACCTGCATTCATTAAGGAGCTATTTTGTAGTGCAATTATTTTGCAGTCTCTATATTTCAAATCTACCTTCTGTTGTTTTTCCTTGAGGGCCAGTTGATTGCGAAGTCTCTCCACCAAATGCTTCATGGTTTTACTTGGCGCACGCTGTGCAGCCTCTTTCGCTGTCTCCAGTTCATCCTTTAGCACTTCAATCTACAGGTCAATATGACATAAAAACATATAAAACAACAAACGATATGATGTGCAAGTGAATAAATATAATGTTTTCAGGCTTCATTTTCGTAACCACCTGCGTTGCGTACCTAATTGTGATGATCCCTCAAGTCTCTATAACAGTCGTATGAAGCAGACGAAGTGGTAGGCGACTGCACACAGCCTGTGATATGATGTGTCACACAGCAGAGAAGGAAGTGAGCAATTAAAAATGAACAAAAAATCTCACAGCTCACCGCTTTACTCTGTTCCATTATTCTGTCATCTTGCTCCAGTTTCTCGCTGTTTAGTTTCTTCACTTCGTTGGAATGCTCCTCCTTCTTCCTGATAGGCGAGTAAAAACAGGTATGCACTGCGTATATGTGTACTAGTCTTGAAACTCGCTGAAACTATGGAACATTTTTGTCTTGGGTTTCAAGTCCTTTTTGTCGTCCCATGAGCAGTGATGATTAGAAATAACTAAATTACAAGTTACGTGGATAAGGAGAAAGAGAGGACACCGATTTCCGCTGATTCACTCTGAGAACTAAAAACGCCATAAGCAAAGTTAAAAAATAATCAGTAACATCAGTGATGTTTTCCTTAAGCCACCCAAGCCACCCAAACAAAACAAACAAACAAACAAACAAATAAACAAACAAATAAACAAACAAACAAACATGACTACTAAGCTTCACATTGAATAAAACTCTTTTGTTCACCTGGCCATTTGTTGTTTGAGATTATTAAGTTCCTCTTCATGATCTTTTTTCATTTTACTGATCTCATTTCGTGATTTCTTGTATTTCTCAGCTGCTACAGCTAAAGCATTGTCCTGCTCTGCTACCATTTCCTCCAGCTCAGACAAACGTGACAACTGTAGAAAAAAAATATAAAATAACAAAACAACAATGAACTGTAAAATCATCGCATTTTAATTGACTTTAGTCAGCTTTCCATGGAGAACTGTCATTAACGGCTATGCATCACATTTTAAGTATTTAGTGAATTGTTACCAAACGTAGTGAAATTAGGAAGTGTGTAGCAAGTGTCTTTGCACTTATCCTAAGCATCAATGCGTTGCTTAGACTACAACCCTTTAAGCTTCCCTATTGACCGAAATACAAGTAATGCTCAGTATTATAACAAACCTGCTTGTGAGTAGGGACTGGCGGACCAGCAGCATTCACTGAATCCTGATAAACAAGGAAAACAGAAAGTTCGATAATAATAATAATTTGACAGGAGAACATCAGAAAACGCGTAAATCAGATATGTGAGGAAAACAGTTCAGTGTCTTATAGACAATGGGCGGACTCTCTCTACAATCCTTAATGCAGCAAAGAAGGAAATGGCGTTTAAGAGACAAATCTTAGCTTACGCTTTCGTAATTGAAGGACGAAGCCATTTCTTTCCAGTTCCGCGCCTATGTTAGATTCATTTGTACATGAGTAAATAGCGGAAACAAAGGGTGACTTACACTCACCAAAATGTTCATCGCTGCAACTACGATTATTGCAACTCTCCTTGGACAGGTTGATAATTCATACCCACCNCCCCCCCCCCCGCCTCTACCCTAAGCATTGAGTCAGATTGCACATTTACACTTCCGGGTGGTGAGAAGCACAATGAGAGTAAAGTGTCTTCACCGAGAACACAACACAATTTTAAAGCCTATTATGTTTATTTGAAATATTTGAATACTTTTTTTTTTTCAGTTTAAGTGGCATGCCTGAGAACTAGCTAGGTGTAGCTAAGCCTATAGAACTCTAAAAACATTCGACAGTATAAATTTTTTTTAACAATGTCCCTGGACAGACTTAAGGACGTTCGCGCGAAAATTTTCCAAACTTGATTTCTTTCTGAGATTTCACCACTTTAAGATGATGAGTTAGTTATGTCAAAAATGTAAAAAAAAAAAAAAAAAAATGGGGGGTCACCGACTTCGTTTTGGAGAAAACATGCTCGGAAGAACACCCTAAATCTGAAAAAATCGGTCTTCGTTATCGAATAAGGCCACAGTGTTTGTAAGCCCAAAAATATTGCAAGCAGATCTTTGAAGTGAAATGTTCTCTGCCAAATATTGTTTAAGTGGACCTATTAAGTTAATCTAGTCAACTGGTGAGTTTCCTTAAAGAACAACTTCACATTTAGCGACCTTAGTTTCACGCGCCTTGCAGCCGCAAGATGGCAGGATTCGATGTCCCGTGGACAGAAATCTTGAATTTTTTTTTAACTTCCCACATTGATTTTTTGTTCATTTTTGGACAATGTGGAAATAATTGAACGTCCAAGATCGTTAAATCCAGGCAAAGCTATAGCAATGGCCATCTGCCCTATCATTGTTCATTTTATTACTTAGCGTGCGCTCATGCATGACGTGGCGTGTGAATTTGCGTGCGCAGTAACGATGCGCAGAAACAATCAGCGCGAACGTCCTAAAGCCCGGTCTGTTAGACACGAGATCCAACCCGACACAGGCTTCCATCCACCACGCCTCCCACTTGTGTGCTATTTCACGCACAAAACAAAAACCTCGTAAGAGACTGACCATATGGAAGATTTTCTTCCTTTTAAACGTCTCGTCTGTCTCTAAATGTAATCGGTCTTGAAGGAGCTGGATTTCTGCTTTGTGTTGCTCTGTTTGAGACTTGGCCTCCTGCAATTAATAAACAAGAACATATTACAGAAACGTCTTGACGTGTACAATAACTGCACCTCACTCTGATCTCACCTCTCGTGCTTCTTTCAACATTTCTTGGTACTTGGTCAGTGATTCTTCTTTACGAGCCAGCATTTGCTGTAATTATTAACAGAAACCAAACAATAAACACTCACAAACGGAAAATTGATTAGCTGAATGTATACAAAGATCAAGTAATAAATCACTGCAAAGAGCGTTTGTGTTAAATGGAAAGTTTAGAAACGAGAAGTATTCCCTTCAAATTTGTCTACTTTGCACGTTTTCCATCAGCTGTTTACTATTAGGCAAACAAAAGTATGGGTAACACTTTTTAGAGGAGCTCAGTCACGGCATTATGAGTCATTTTGGCCATGGACAAAATTACCTTTAAGCTGAAGGAAACCTGAAAATAACAGTTTCGTAAGATAGAAAAACACCAAAGAGATTATAATATACCATAAGAGAACAAGGATGGTCAAGGATGGAAAAGATCGACACGGATTACAAACGACGAACTCGAAAAATTTAAGCTTTAATCTTCAAGGTGCGAAACGGTGACCTAGCTTCTTCGTGGTGGGAGACTTCGAACATTTCCTCTTGAACAGTTTCAAATTTGATTCGTTCTTTTTAGTGACAAACAATCTGCTGACTGCCTCTCAAAGCATCCAAAGACCTGTGTTTGCTCTGAATCTTACATGTCCCACCAAATTTATGAGACAAGCACCTTTACCAGGCTCATCTTGCGACGAGTTTCTTCATACCTGCAGACTGGAGACTGTTGCCTGCGCCACTTTGAGAGCTCGTTTGGCTTCATAGTCCTCCTCTATTAACCCAGCCGCCTTCTTAGCTTCTGATGTGATCTCTTCACGCTCCGACAGAGGAAGGCGCAACCGGAGCTCATTGATAAGCTACAACAAAATGAAAAAGAGTCAAATATTACATTGTTTTCTCTAACAACAGCCGAAGTCAGTAGAAAATAATTTCCAACGTTGTTTTCATACGTTGCAATAACGATTTGAACAAGCTCGCTCTCGAAATGTCATGAGAATTTTTTCTCCGCTTTCAGTACATGCTTGTTATGATCGTAACTCTGGATATAGAGAAAATTCTTTATCTCATTATATCCGCCATTTTTCCTCTTGAAAAAGACTACCTTAAACACACATTTGTGAATTAAGTGAGGGCAACCAAAAACTCAAATCAGCATGAACGGTAACTCGATTTAATGGCATTCTTTTTATATGTCAAAAAATGAAGAAAATGGCGTTATTTCAGAGTTCTAGTTAAAATCACCAAAATTAAGCCCCGCGAAAGAAGAAACAGTTTAGTTATGTATATGCCACATACCACTACGGTGACTCTTTCTTTAACAAGACAAACAAAAGCATCACCTTGTCCTTTTGAGTTAGCCTTTCTTCAGATTGTTTGAACGCTTGATCCAGCTCCTCGTGTTTCTGTAATCAAAATACATTTTTTCATTTGTTACCTCTGGTGTTGGATGGGTCAAATAAATTCCTAATTTTCCAAAAGTAATATGGACACAAGTGTACGATTTCATCCACAAAATATTTCAACTTTGCTTATGTAAAAATTCTGCAAAACGTTTCATTCTCCAAATCCAATCACACATACATTCTGACATGTATGATCTATCAATTTGGAGCCGGATTCCTTTTAGATTCCGCTTGTTATCATTGTCTCTCACCCCACCTTAAAGACTACTCTCCCAAGCCTACAACACACCTTTTTAAGAACTTTATTTTCTTCCCTCGTTCCCACGATGATCCTGATATGTTCCTTAATCTTTGTTATGGCCATCTCCAATTGATTGGCCACCGGCAGATTGGGGTCTGGGATCGAGCCTGTAGCCTCCTCGAACTTAGCAGCCGCGTCTGCTAGTTGTTCTTGTTGCTTTTCTAACTTGTCAATCATGCGCTCTAGCTCCACCTCCCTCTGTTCCCATAGCAACTGCCGCTCTTCGTGCTCCTTAGAAAGCTGGACATTTTCATCTTCCAAGTCGGAGATTGTACGTTCATGGACTTTCGTGATGTTCTCCAGGTATTTCAGCTGGAAGAAGAAACAAAACGAACTTTGAACACTTGACCACCAGTATTGAGTGAAAATCTACACTGATTTCCCAACACTAGAACTTAGTACGAATACCGCTAATCAGTGGCCGACAACCTACCCTCCCACTTGGAGGCTTCCGCCTCCAGTGCTTGGCCGCTACCGTGACCACTCATTATTTCCTAGTGACAACCCTGCCCAAGTTCATCCTTACTTCAGTGTTCCAAAGTTCAATGAAGATTCCTTTTGCATGCAACCCCTTCAATATTAACAACTGTTTGGTGCTCTACCTCTTGACATCGTATGTAAACTTCACGTTAAAATCGCGAGTAATAATCTGATTTAAACAGTAAAATGGAGAATAACGCTAAAATATTAGCTTGACCAAAACCCAGTGTCTCTCAACCACAGGATAGAAATTGTCATCCAGCCGATTCCCATTCTATGTTCCACGTGATCTATTTCAACCAATTCGGGGGCACGAACATAACTCGCTAAGTCATTACCTCTTCCTGTAGCCTTGAAATCGCGCGATTCAATTTAAGGTCCTGTAGTCTTATCTCTCCCATCTTTGCATGCCACTCAGTGACTTTAGCAGCCCCTTTGCCGTCCTTTAACGTGGCCATGAGTTCTTGTAAGCTGTCATGCTGAAGTTTGAGCTCAGCAAGCTTATCTTCTGCAGCTTCTCTGTCAGTCCTGGCTTTCTTTAACTCTCCTTCAAGCTTGCGTTTGTCTTCGTGTAGCGAGCGCATGGTGTCTGCAAATTTTTCCTGCAAATAAACAGTAATCACAATCACCGTTTAGCAAAACGTCCCGCTTTATAGAATTCGTTTTGATTTCCATGTTCTACCTCCTTTGTAACTGACAGGAAACAGTCCAACAATTGTTTTGTCTTCTCTTGTACTAAGTATGAAAACTAGATATTGCCAGTTAGAAAAAAGCACGCAAATGAAGACACAAAATTCAAATCAGATGCTCGATTTTCGCAAACCTACCGGCTATTATCTCCTTCAATAAGAAACGCGGTTTTATTTTGTTCAATCACAACGATAGGTAAGTCGAGGAGTTTCGCATCAAAGCAACCTTGTGCACATTTGCCAACTTCAGATCTATCCGTTCCGAGCGTGAAAAAAGCATGATTTAAGTTCACTTGAGAAGGCAATACGCATGTTATTGTACCTGTTTCATTAGAGGTAAGGCTCCGCTGTACTGCCTCCGTAGATCTTGAATGGTCCTCTTAAGGAACTTTGCCTTGTTTCTAGCTTCCATCTTTGCGTGGTACAGAGCCTGGTCCTTTTCATCTATTTTCCTCTCCAGACGCAACAAGTGAGCTTCTTGTTTGGACAACTTCTGTGTGGCCGCCTCCAGTTTCCTCACGGCTGTACCCTCACTCACTTGAAGGGCCACGATATGGTGATGCAACTTACCTGAAAACAATTACACATATTTTTTCAGAAAACTTGACATTGTATAGAACAGGCAAAAAATACACAGTTGTATATAGGGAAGGCGAGGTTTTGGTTAAAATTAACAATTTGAAAATGGACTAATTGGTTTTAGATGATCCAGATGGGTTTAACGAGCAACTAATGGAAACAAAAAGAAAGCGCTTCACTGTAAAACGCTCGAAATTCCTCCACATCCTAGCTAAGAACTGTAACAAATCGTAAAAATGATCTACTAAAAGACAAGCAACCTGAGTAGAAGCTGATTCTAATACCAGCCACCGAACAATTTCACCGACTTAGTTTATTAAATTAGTTCATTATTATTTATGCCATATTATTACAAAATATCAATCCATAAGGCAAGGAGGCCCTGGGAAGCCAATAAGGCTTAAAGATACCTAAGACTTAACAAAAGAATAAAAATGCTGTCATCGGCAAGGCAATTTATTTTGCGCCTGGACACTTACCTACACAGTAAATCAGTTTCCTTAGAAACTTAAATTCCGCAACCATACAGCAACCTCAGTAAACAACGATTTCAATAGCAACTGAACTACCTCACAAGACTGTTCACACTCAAGTGAATCCACTAAACACACTGACCTATAATTGTCTTGTCATCGCTCTCCATCTGCATGTCGTAGAGCTGTTTTCTGAGAGACGTCAGCTCCCTGTCCTGTGATTCTTGTTGTGCTTTGATGGCTTCTGTCTGGTGTGACGCCACTTCCGCCACTTCTTTCAGTCGTGACACTTCCACCTTCAGCTTGGACTCGGACTCCTCTAGGGACTGGATACGACGCGTGACCGCTATGTGCGTCTCTTGCGTGACAGAATCTAGATGAAACGCGTGACACAAAATTCTCGTTATGAACCGTTTATTGCTCCCAGTAGTAATGCTTTTTCTTCATTAAAAAAGTCGTGTATATCGAGTAACTTCGACTAATAGCAGCACTTACTGGAGATTTCATCCCTAAGCTGCCGCTCTATTCGCTGCGATTCAAGATTCAGCTTACTGATCTGTAAGGCGAAAAATAGAGTACTTTTAAGATCTGTCGTCTTTCCAAATAAAAAACAGTTTTTCTTCATTAACAAACAGAACAAACCTCTGCAAATTTCTGTTCTAACTCAACATTCCTCTCCTCCAGTTGCTTGACTAGAGACTGTAATTGGTCATATTTCCTGGTAGCGTGTTCTGCCCGCTCTCTTTCATTCAGTTCCTGGTGAGGTTTGAAAGAATAACAAAAACATGGAATACATGTGCCTTTCACGGTATTCTTAAGAACACAGCTCAGGGAACGGTTTACTTACTGATACTGTTTATTTGTTACACAAATGGTTGTTTAATAAGTTGTCAGTTGGCATCAACCCCGACAGTCAGTCTGCAATTTACTCTTTCCAGACTGGAGACGCAAAATACATCCAGAGGAATGATTTGTCTACTGTTTTATGCGACTAGGGTTAACGCGAGAAGTCGTTCGGTTCAAGATGCACAAAATCAGTTAAGGTCCGGTAATACGGGCAACACTTTCCATCAACCTGTCTCGCAACATTGTTGCATTGCAAGTTGAAACACATTGTTGCGCGTATTACCACGTTTGTGACCAACTTATCTCGCAGCAAAATACGGTGTTGCAAGTCTGCAGAATTCTACAGTTATAATTGCTTAACCGCGTGTAAATAAAGATGGCGCCTTCTCTAATATAATTTAGCATTTCGACGAAGTTCCACTTCGACTTCTGGCCGTCATTTTCTTCTTAATTTTCGTGCCAGCGAAGTTCTCTCAGTATGAAGCTCAGTGTCGTTTCAGGTAGCTAGGCGAAAAGTTGTATTTTTGCGACAGTTCTTCCAAGCCTTTTGCCTTTTTTCCTGCTTGTTTTGAAGGGACAAACGAGGTGTCCCAAAGACTATGATAGCCCTCGAGGTCTTTGTAAAGGACAAAGTTATGACTTTCCGAGAGTTACTGGTCTACTTCAAATTCAGGCTCGCCTTCACCGTCCGCCTTGTTTGTTTTTTATTATTATTATTATTATTATTATTATTATTATTATTATTATTATTATTATTATTATTATTATTATTATTATTATTATTATTTGCCGCGCTTCTTGACAGCCAATCACAAGTGTTGAATCCAAATTTGTTGCGAGACAAGTTGTAGCTTCAGTGGTAATACGAGCAGCAAAACTAAAATTTGTTGCAGAAAGTAGAACTCGAGTCTACTTTGTGCAACATGTTGCCTCAACTTGCAACAATGTATTTTGCTGCGAGACAAGTAGGTCACAAACGTGGTAATACGCGCAACAATGTGTTTCAACTTGCAATGCAACAATGTTGCGAGACAAGTTGAAGCAAAATGTTGCCCGTATTACCGGACCTTTAGTTTCACTGGTGCCCGTATACAGATACGTATCACCAGGCAGACGCAGAATTCGTCTGATGCCCGTCCGCCAGTCTCTACACACAGGAAGATTTTCCGTCTCAGCTAATTCTAGTGTTTTAGTTCGTCGTTCAACTCGTATCAAAGCAAATAGTTCGTCTTGACTTACAAGTAAAATCTTAACACTAAGATCATGCATAATAAGTTCGCCCAAACAGATTATGCGTCTTATGCCTAAAACGGCCACTGTCTTGCCAAAAACTGTAGATAATTTCACGTAAGTTTTATTACTCAAATCCAAGAAAAACCCTCACGATTTCTTAACACGATAGGCAGAAAATCTATAATTTAAATCATACGAGGACGAAACGGTGACATTTTGTCTCAAAAAAACATTTATTTCTTGGCTTATTTAAGCCATATTTAGTAACTAGAGTTCTGTTAAGATTTACCTTCATTTCCAGTGTGGCCAGCTTTCTTGATATTCTATCAATCTCCTCCTGTCTCACGATGCCATTATCTCCTCCACCCTCCCCACCCTCTGAACAACACGAAATACACCATACAGTAAGTAATGCGTAATTAATAATTCAATGTCTGTGATATGTAATCGTATATTTTACTCCTGCTTCATAGCTCAGACAGTAGAAAAATGGAAGATAGTTCTGGAGACTGTGGACGAGTATAACTTGAAGGTCAAAGACTTGCTCCACATCAAACTTTGTACCTTCTAATTTTCTTGTTAATTTTTCGAACGGATTCGACAACATCTGTGCTGTTAATAAACTATCTTTACTTCCTTGCATGCCAACTCAAAGAAACAGCTCGTCGAGGTTCAAAGAAACATAACAAAATTAACTCTCGATCACCTTTTGATAACAGTTCATTCACCATCTGTTCCAAGCTGTGGTTTCGTTCTTTTAACGAAGTCATCTCTTTCTTCAGCTCGGTTTCTTTCTCTTCCAAGGCCTTCTTGTCAGCCTGTTGGGAAACCGTACATTTTTAACACATTCCGAGAAAGGCAAGTTAATAAAAGACTTGCCAAATATAGAGTTCCTTCTGAAACAAGAAAACACAAAACAAACTATGATTTTGGTATACAAATCCTACCTCGAGATTGTCAACTATGGCTGAACGGGCAACAAGGCTATTCTCTCTTTGTATAATGTCACGGTACTTGGCTGTGAGTTCGTTGTACTGTTTGTTTGCTGCCTCGAGTTCTGTTGCTGGAACACTCTCATCCAATGCCTGCTGTAATACTCCTATCTTGTAAGTCGACATTTCCTAATACAAATGCCAATAAAGGTCAGAATATTTTATTGATAAATTGTTGCACAAAACAGAGGGGAGAGGCGTTGTTTGTTACTAAATGAGAAACACTTCTAGTAGCACGAATAAAAAGAGATCGAACAGCTAAAAGACAGCACGAAAACAATTGTTCACTCCCGAGACCGTTGCTCGACAGTACAGGTAATCATGTTCAAACAACCGTGACATTAAAAAGTAAGGTAAGGTTATTTATATTTGAACGTTTTATGACGTGTAAATATTGTATTATAGATCAGGTTCTTACAAGGTCAGTAGTATTTAAATTCTTACTTATTATTACATTGTTATTAGGTCTTTCTTTTATCTTATACACGACCCCACAAACTTTTAGCTTTAAAACTTATCGTGTTAAAATAAAGGCTTTCTAGTCTAGTCTAGTCTTGTCTAGTCTGGTCTATTCTATTCTATTCTATTCTAAGGTAAGGTACTCTACTGAAGTATTGTATAGTAAGTAGTATAAGTAACTTATCGTTAGTGGTATTGTAAGTAGTGTCTGTCTTGTTTCGTTAGTAGTGTCCTTTGTGTTGCAATAAAAAAATTAAAAAAATAAATAAAAAAAAGGTAAAGCAGACCAGACTGCTCCACCTGGAGCCCAATTCACTAAATATTAGACCACCGCACCTCTCCAGATATAAGGAGCTGTCCAAAAGGCGCTGTCTAAAAGGCGTGACAGAAAAATTGTACACGAACTTAAAATGAAACAGAACATTTACCAAACGCGTCTAAACGTAAACAAACTGCGTACCTTGTGTCTCTGAAGATAACCTAAACGTTCCGTAATGGCGGTCTCCATAGCAACAACATCATTCTTGTATTTCTTGTTTTCTTTCCTGAGAGCAGCTTCTACTTCCTGCATAGCTGTGTATCTCCTGGATAGCGACTTCTCATTCACTCGCAGCACAGTTATCTTTCTGGTCATTTCGCCCAGTCTCTTTTTCTGTTTATCCTCGTCTTTTTCAAGTGTATCGAGCAACCGCTGTTAGAAAATAGTGCGACCAATATCTTATTTCTCCTAACAATATTAATACACTGGTAAGAGGACATAGCATAGCTGGTAAGAGGACATTTCAATTGCAAACAAGAAATTTGATTTCGTTGTCTTACTGCGCCTTTCAATAACATGCGGACTCTAAAATTCAAAGCTCAACTGACAAATGCGTCTTTCGCTACCGTCAATCAAATGTTCGGCGGCTCCTTCCAGCTTCCGACTACTGTCGAGCACTGTTTCGTTGTCTGAACTCTGCTCAACGATTTGATTACCGCGTGCTCGGCAGTAGTCGGAAGCTGGGAGGAGCAGCCGAACATTTGATTGACGGTAGCGAAAAACGCATTTGTCATTTGAGCTCTGAATTTTAGAGTCCGCATATTATTGAAAGACGCAGTAAATAAGATTGTAAACGGTTGAAAAACGGATTTATCAAATTAATTACTTTACACTCCGTTTAATTTCTGCTTATACTTGATTGAAAAATAAAGATTGCTATTGTTGTTGTTTTTGTTGTTTCGTACCCAAGAAATACTTCACTTCATCTGCTACTTACAATTAGACTACGAGCCTTAGTTTTCTATGTCTAAAATCGCCCAGAGAAAACAGTCGAACAGGCGAACAGTCTAAATGTTTTTGTAGACACTCTGAAATGCGAAATTTACAATGTTACGTATTTTAAGCCCCAAAACCAAAGAAAATTTTTTTTAAGGGCAACACGAGCGCGATCGTGCTCCATAAGCAAATAGACAGCAAGCTGGTTACTTAACCAGATTATCCCTCAGTACCTCAAACTCTAAGAGCCTGATTTTATCATGTTCTCTGGCCAGTTCAGTTGCAGCTTTGTCTTCTTCAATCGCTTTCTTCTCCTCTTCCCATTTCTCTTTTTCTTTCAGAAAGTCATTATATAGAAGCCCCTACAAATAACAATATCAATAGTCCTTCGAGCGTTAACATGTCATTTTTGAGATTTGAAGAAACCTCTGCTCTATTTGCCAGACAGACCAATAAAACAAATTTACTAGACGAGGTCGAGCAAATTATCGCGATTTCTAAAGTAGTTAGCAAACAATGACAAATTAGCATGTTTTGCCAAAACCGGATTCAATAATTGTTGTATCATTCAAACGAAAAACTTGTTTCATCATTCCACCATTGAGTTTCCTTTTTACAATTTAACGTATGGAAAACGATGCCGGGCAGCTGTACATTTTACCATAATAGCGTGCGAACCTAACACAGCCATTAAGCACGTAAAAAGTCTTATTTTCTGTGAAATGTATCTCCGTAATAACCAAATTGTGTACGCTATAGCTTAAACCTTTTAGACTTATGAGCGTTTTTAGGGTTTTCGTTTGTTAAGAATTATGAGTAAATGTGAGAGCCGCCATCTTCTACAGTACGGGGGATTATTTTCGGAAGCACCCGCTCCTCGCTGAAGTTATAAAGGAAAAAAGCATGTCTTCCTTTCTGGACTTCATCCAATTCCCTTTCTTTCTGATTATTACCGAACAACAATGATAGATCATACTATGTGGAGTTTCTAGAGTAAAAGACAAACAAAAACGTATTGATAGAGACTAGTGGCGTAGCAACCTTTTGGTGCAGAATCACTGAGAACTTCCTCTTGAACACGTCAAGGTCCTTTTCCATTTTCTCTAGCAATCGTTCCTTTAGTGATATTTCCTTGAAAACAAACAAAAAAAGAAGGAACACCATTAACTTTCTATGGAAACCGAAGCTCCAACTATAGACGTGTTGGGGAAATGGATGGTATGTATTGTCGCTAAATAAAAAAGAAATATAAAGAGATACACAACATATACTTAAAATAAAACAATTAATAAACTTAAAATAAAATTACAATTTTATGATTATTTTTTAGAAAGGAAGCTACATTAGCCTTAGCTGGTTTTCATGCGGGTCTTCTGTCCTGATCGAATTGGAATTTGGAGCATTGGTTTTTGTGGCGGGAAAAAAACCGGAGAACCCGGAGAAAAATCCTTGAAGCAAGGTGAGAACCGACACAAAAATCCATCCACATATGGCACCAGGCCTGAATCGAACCCAGGCCACATTGGTAGGAGGCGAACACTCTCAACACTGCGCCATTCCTGCTTCCTGCTAGTTTTTTTTTCTCTAAAGTGAAGCAAGTAATTAAAGTACACTTGAAAATTAAAACCAAAAAATGTATTCTGTCGCTTCCGTAACATGTCCCCATTCAGGTTTTCCTTTCTTTCTTGCCGTTATTACAGATTTACTTCCTGGTGGCAAGGACCATAGAAAATGTTTCCCGTTGTCCCGTAACTAATGTCCACATGGCCATGGCTAATGTAACTGTTATCAATATTCCTCGCTTACTTGAAGTACTTGTACAAGATGTTCATTCAGACTAGCAATGATTTCAGTTGATGACGGTGTCATTCCTTGTGGCAGAGGCATTGGTTGTAACTTCACTGCTCCTTCGCCTACAATTACAAACAGAAAAGAATTATCCACTCGTACACCTTCTGCCTGCATACTGTCTCTTCAATCCTCTCGGTCACACGATAAAACTTACCGATCTCTTTTAACACTTTCACATCTTTTTCCAGATCCTCAATCTTACATCAGAAACAAAATCACAGAAAAAAAGTTAAAACACAACAAGAAAATATGTTTGTCTAAGCATATCCCGAACTTTCTGATTACCTAGTTTTGTCTTCTTCAAGATCCTAAATTAATACAAATATAGCTTGTAGCATTAGGCTAATCTAGGTAGAACACAAACAAAATCACAGAAAAATCACAAAAAAGGCAAAACACGAAAGAAAATATGTTTGTCTCAGCGTATCCCGAACTTTCTGCTTAGCTAGATTTGTCTTACAATCCACGATCACCTTGGTATTTTTCCTTTCTAACTGCATGATAGCTTTAGCCGTTTCTTCTCTTGCGTTATGTAGTTCATGTCGCAGTTCCTCGTTCCGCCCGCTCAGTTGTTCAATCTACAAGTAAAATACGTCGCAAGGACGACAGAATACTCAGCAATCACAGTCCAACTGATTTGCACTTGTCCCGCTTGAGGACTTTACTGAAGAGACAGTGTTTGACTGCGAGGTTATATTGTCTGATAGCATGCCCAGCAATAAATCCCGATAGCTGTTGCTACTTTAATAATACGCGATCAAAGCGATCAAGAGTTCTGTTTTTTTCTTTTTCCTTGGTCAACTCTGGAGGGATTTCACACAAACGGTGCTAGTGTACCTGAGTGAATTGTTTATACGTACATGTAGTAGATCATTTTTTCTTTGAAACATATATGGAATGAATGACTGTATTATTTTGTATTTACAGACTTCACGAGCTTCACGTTGCGTCTGAACAAATACTGACGCATAGAGTTATCGCTACAAGATTATATTGTGATAACAAAGCATTCTTCGGCCCAAATTGACGTTGAGTATACTTAACCCTATATAATATTACAAAATACATATATGTGATAGCTGCCTGAGACATGTATACATTTTTGTCAAGAGTGGCTGTTACTGTCTAATCACAATAAAGTACCTGTGCTTTTAACTGTAATGTGGTATCATACTGGCCAACTGCATTTCTTGACTCGATCATCTTTAACGAACACAAAAAAGAAAATGTTTTAGAATATCAAATTTTAAGCAGCAAAAAATGTCGCATATGCAACAGGTCTGAACATTGGGAGAATTTCAAACAAAACAACAGGTAAGGGAAGACATTTACAGCCATTAGTTTTTCTAAAGCTGGTACTTGAATTAATTGACTTCTTTCTTCTGGCCCTAAAACACAACAAAGTACACAAATCAATATCCAGTACACTAAGCAGCAACTGTACGCTGATTATGGAGGACCAGCCTGCGAAAACAGCCGTCCTTCTTCGCGACCGCCCGAGTGTGCCGGGAGCGAAGAAGGACGGCTGATTTCGCAGGCTAATGGAGGAATAAAACTTGGCTGAACTATCACTAAGGCCTTACTAGCAGGGCAAACAAAAAATGTGCCACAGATTGAACAAGAATGACCATCACTAGGAAGACATCGGCAGCAGATAAGCAAACCTTTCTGTGCGTGTTCTCTCAGTTGCGCTAAAATCTCTCTCATTCCTACTTCCAGCTGTTTATTCTCATCTTTAAGTTCCTACATGAAAGGAATCAGTCAAAGTAATGAGAAAAAAACAAATATACAAATAAACAAAGTGTCCTTTATTGTTTAGCTATTTCAGGTTGCTAAACAAGTAGCAAACTTTATGGAAAGAAAAAAAGGATGTACTTCACAGCAGTAATTTGAGTTTTAATTTTGAAGTAGTAGAGGCGAGGAAGGGGGTTGGGGAGTTGGTCTAACAAACTTTAGTACAAGACGTTCGTTTTCCACCATTCGGGCATAGACATGCTGAAACCCAAACAACACATTGTAGTAATTCTAACCTTATTTATAGGAAATTGTTCGAAAAAGCAATTTAAAAAAATCTCATAAATAACAATGGTAACAGGTCCTTGTTTGCTTTCTTGATTGATAGACTGTGGTGAGAATAGACAGTGCACCTCCTTTACACCCCTCCAAGGCCTTTTACAAAGGCTATGTTAACTTCTATCGCAATACTAAAATCGTCATACGTCAAACATGGTATACATGCACCTTATTTTCTGTTTCAACCTTCTTCATGTTAGACTTGTACTTTTCAATTTGTTGTTCATTCTTCTCCGCTTCGCCTTCAAGCCTCTTGTTCTGAAACAACAAACGAACAAACATTTTTATATTCATAATATGGTCATATGGTGTACTATGATGTTAAGTTGCACTATCTATAAAATCTAAGCTGTACTTACTAGTGGGTATCAAAGGCGTCTTCATATCAAGTATCACTCCCATTGCAATGTTTAGCCCTATACGCCAGTGAAAATATATGGTTGACAAACATGAAGAATCCCTCAATTTGGTAAGAACTCTAGAATTTCCGTGATCAGACACTAAATTTTCAGAAGGCTTCCTGACCTTGAAACAGTACTGCACAAACCCTGTTTTATGACACTGTTTACAGTCATTAACATGTAATATCTACGTGACACTTCATGTACATGACAAACATACCAAAGCCTTGGTGACTTCACTGTCGGAATCCACCACAGGAAGTCGTCTGGGTGAAGAGACCACATCCTGTTCTTCTGCCATGATCAAGTCTTCTGCCGTGATTCCTAACTCCACAGCTCTGGAGTAAAAAGCATTACATGCTAGTTATGAATTCTCACGTTACTAAAAAGTCTCTTTCACACGTTATTGCAGAAAGAGGTTGATGCACATTACTTCAAAGAAGTATGTCACGAGTGATACAAGATTAGCTTTAATTGTTCAATTTTGCCATAGTCTGTTCGCGCAGTTTGTAGTCGACTGCCGAAAACCCCAACCAACGGACACAGGCAAGCCGGTGAACCACTCAAAATTGTCTCTTCTTTAACTTACCTAGCACCTCTGTGCAAAGCCTGTTTTCTGAGCTGTCTCTTGAGTTGAAGCCGTTCTTCCTCTAATCTTTCAACCTGCACAGAAAAAAAAGAGAAGAAAATAGATTAAATAATTTGTATCTTGCAAGACTCTGCCATAAAAGGGAGCTAATTTAAAAAACTTGAATACAGATCATATTGCAGCTCTTATCACGTAGGAGTTAGGTACCACAAACACGGCAAGGCACTGATCCATCACAAATCCTCCCTGCGTTGTATCAAGACTCAAACAGGAACTAGACTGGGCGAGTTGCTAAGGCAACCAAGTAACAATGAAGAACTAGTATCCCACGCAGGGTGGAATATCAGCATTCCCATTTAATTGTTAAAGATGCGGAAACTGGACCATGTTTGGGTCACCTCTTTAGTTAATGCCCTGTTTAGTGCCACTGCCTGTTCAGCTTTCACTTTCTTCTTGGTTCTGACATCTTCAATGTCCAGCTTTTCTTTTGGATCCATTCCAAGTCGTTCTCGCAGCTCCTCATTCTCCAGCTCACTGTCATTTACTTTAATCTCCAAGTTGTTCACTTGGCTGGTCAAGTCTTCAATGTTCCTAAAGTGCACGAAATGCAAGAGATTCAGCCAAAAATGAAAACCAATTCCTAAAGCACACATAACACTAACCTCTTCCAGGCGTTCCCAACTAAATGAATACCTGGAAGAGGCTAATATAAGACTGACTAAGAGCTGCTATTGAAAGTTCTTGTTGGTCACCAACAAAATGTTGTCAGTTAGACAATAGTAAATTCCAGAATGGGATTACTTTTTGTTACTTGGAGCAATTGTCTATATAATGAAACATTCTGTTAACACCTATAGACCTTATTAATAAATGGCTGCCAATTAAAAATTATTTTGAAAGTACTAAACCTCGTTTTTGGGTTGATCATTCAAAAGAATTTTTACTCTCAAACGAGGTTAGTTTGGGCTAATTGAAATGCATACAAAATAACTTCAAATTGGCAGGCATTTATGAATAGGGTCTACACCACATAACAGATTAATTTCCAGTTCATAGCAGAACCTTTGATACCTGCAATTATCTGAGAAAATATTTTATTTAGAGTTCAAAATAAACAGCTGTTTTTCTTACTGATCTCTAATGCGAATCTGAGCCTTGCAGTCTTTGATTTCTTGTACTGCTTCACTCAAACCGTACTCTCCCTGAAAGGACATACATAAAAAATGTCATGACATTTGCTTAAACTTTTAACTCTACATGTACAAACGATGAATAACAGTTTCCCTCAGTCATGTCCTCTACATCAAAGATTATTGTTGTTTTAGCGTGTACTGTATGCCTCTACAAAAACTGTAAACAACCCTGTGTAAGTGGCTTTAATAAGTGTACAGTACCGCTCAAAAGTAAGTTACCACCTTCTCGCGAGACGAGACCCTCGTCTCGAGAGACGAGACTCCCGTCTCGAGAGACTCTCGCCTCGCGAGAGCTTTAAAAAACTGTTTGTACGGCTGCCTGAACTTCTCGCGAGATTTTAATAGCCTATTGTAAAGCTAACAATGCAGCAACAACGCCGCAAAACTTTGCGCGATCTGACGAAGCTTCGCTTGCGAGCGCCGGCGCCGGATTTCCGATGTTTACCACGTTCATAAAAGATGTAACTTCAGAAATTTTTAACTCACGTGGTTTGAGAATTGTATCTGTGAATATATACGATGCATAAGGCTGTTTTGTGACAGAATGACACAAGTAGGGCTAACAAAATAACAATTTTACCTACTCAGTAAAATTTGTAAATGCATGACTTTTTAATCCACTGAGAGCAACTCTCACCCTTTCGTATTGCATCATTCGAGCCAACAGATCATTCAACTGCTTGTCCTTCATGGCTGCAGCCTTTTCTGCCTGTTCACGACAAACAATGAATCAGTTGAAAGCTTTATTGAAAGAAAGACCAACAACAGACCCTTAAAATTGCTACAACTGTTAATCTTCATCTTAATAAGCACTGGCCACTCTTTAACTGCGTTAAAAGGGTGATCTTTTCAACACTGCAAATATTTGGTAATTAAATATTTCTGTCAATACCTACAGTAGCTTACTGGATCTCAGATCACGTCACGCCTAGCTATTGTTATATTATTGTGTTTTTACAGTACATGTAGACAAGATACGTAATTGTCACAGTGCCTCTCTCTTCCTATGTGAAAAAAAAAATGGCCAGTGGAAAATTGTTGCATGATCTGTGCACATCTGCCTCCACAACATGGTAACATGTAAATCAACAAGACAATTTACCTAAACCAGGATTAGCGAGAATTTTGATTTTAGTTTTGCAACTTTTCAGTCAGGGTTTCTGTTTAAATATTGTTTGTTTTTCAGTTTTGAGCTAAAGTTGTCCCAAACTAATCAAAACTCAAGCAGTCAAAAACAATTTTTATACAAGAAAAATTAATACTTTGGTTGACTTGTTAGTGTCAACTGGCTTTCAAACAACCAGGGGTTTTGTTACCATTATCATTCTGTCTTTGGTTTGCATCCCTTCTAACTGTTCCCTATGCAATGTACTATTTAGTTCCTTGATTCTCTTCTGTTGGTATGCTGATGGAACACCTAATAAAATAATTTTGATTCATGATCAGTGAAGAATAACAGTAATGTATAGAGTTTGTTTATAACAATTTGCATTCAATAAATTGTATAAAGGACTGCAACATCTAAAAAATTTTGCTCTCATTTTACTCACTACTTGCAGACTCTCTAGTACTAGAAGCTTCAAATTTATACTATAAAGTTTTAACATAATACCCTCTGAAAGTAGCAACCTTCCAAAAGAAACAATAAAATATCACTATCACAGTCATCAGAAATTCCCAAAAATACAGACCCTACAAAACCAACAACCCTCAAAAGTAATGGCCTCAGATGTAACTTTAAAAAAGAACTTTTTGTGAAAAAGAAACAAGATGTAACAGGATACAAGAAGCTGTCACAAAATGACCTTATGTTTGTTTAACTGACCCTTATTCAGAAGGCAACTATACAAAGATTATTTTTAATTTCAGTTAATATCTGTTTCATGTCTCTACACAATCAAAAAAGGCTACTTTGATGGATTGGCTCATAAACGGTACACATTTTAGCTATTCAAAGTAGCAGCTCTTCAAAAGTTGTAACCTTCAAAAAGTACAGGCAGCAATAAAAAGTTCTAAATCCAAAAGTAATGGGGTCGTAACTTGAAATCAGAACATTACAGTATAGGATAGGCCACAATGTGAGCAGAGGCTGTGCATCTAAGTATATGATACTGCCTAATTACTATTTCTATTGGTCTTGCAGCTCTTTCTTGTCTGGTTTCTCCTCATACAAATGTACATACCTGATGTTCCAGTTTCTAGCATCTACAAACAGATTTGTTGAAATCACCTCAAGACCCCTTTTCACATGGAAACGTACACATATATCTTCTATTAAAAGCTGTAAGTTGCAGATATAATGTTTATTTACAACATGCACCTTTTTCTGATAAGGCTTTGACTTCTTCTGCATATGAAGCTACTCCATGCATCTCACTTGATGCCTAAAGCCAAACAAAGACCAGCAGAAGAACAATCAGCAGAAGATTGGAAGATCTAGAATTCACGTAGAATATACATATAATTCTCTGGCAATACTATATTTTCTCACGTAGATGTCGCTGATTCAATGCATTGTCAGGGCTATTCTCTAGAAGAGCCCGGGTGCCATAGGCAACTAACTTTTTCCTTTAGGTGAGTGGAAAAATTTTATTGCTTTTTTCATTACATATAAACAATAAGTGCTGGGCACCCAGGATTTCATGATTAGGAACTTATGGGCTCCTTATAATTTTTCTTATGGACTCATAACTGCAAAGGGTACCTTTTCCAATTCCTTTTTGAGCTTTTCAATTTGTTCATCTTTTTCAATCATTGCCTGTAAAGAATATATCATATAACAGTAGCAGAATGTATTGTGATTAAGTTAATTGACAGTATCATCATCGTCACCATCTTTGACTTGCCACACCGTAAAATTTACTAATAATAATAAAAAATAATAACAACATAAAGCAGTGAGAAGACCTCAAAAAAAAAAGGCTTACAGCAGAGGTCACCTCAGTTGTTAATAATATTGTAAATTTTAAGTTCTGTAGGCATGGCACGACTGGAAGAAGACCAATGTGAAGTAAGAAAACAGTCAGAATGAAAAGAGCCAAAGATGAGTAACAAAATTAGAAACATTACTTTATTTTACCTGATGTAGCATGGCCAGAGATGTTTTGTCTGTGTCCAGTTGCAGACCTGTAACCTGCTGTTGTAGATCCTGCACTAAAGACTTGTATTGCTCCAGTTCAATCTCTTTAGCTGCAAGTACAGCCTGTTAAGAGGATCAATTTTAATAGTCAGTAAGTATTACATGTACTTCTATAAATAATTCAACGACCTTTTGGCAATTTCTAAAAGTTCTTTCATATTTCGAAATACAGAATGAGAAGATTGTTAACACAGTAAATAATTGATCTCTAAACATCAGTCATTTGTTTAATGGTATGTTCTATTTCCACAAACCTTCCACTCATCAACTTTAGCATTAACAGCCACCATAATTTGATCATCAGTGTCTGTTTTTGTGGCAAACTGCATTCTCAAGTCTTGAACCTACTCAAAAAAGCAAATGAAATCACTTCCTGACATTGCATGCATTTATCAAATTTGATTATATAACCAAGCACTAGGGACATATTTTCACTTTGAAGAGAGATGCAAAGGCATGAGGGGATATGGCTGCAATATATTTCAACATACATGTAGTTGGGGTCATTAATCAAAGGTAAGAGGGGTAATAGGTTAATACAACATGTAAGTCAATACACAAATAAACATGCTATTTATGTTCCAACAACAATACAAGGAATAATGTGATCACCATTCAACCTTCAACATCATAGAATCTATTTAGATTCAGTTATCTGCTGCTTGCACAATACACTGTCAATTAGCAAGTACATGTAGTGACCTGTGCTCTCAGGGCATCCCTTTCTTTTCTCATATCATCAATGATCATGTCTGATTGTTGTAGAATGGTCTGCAGGGCAATAACAGGCACATGACTTTTGGAATCACACAGTTTTAATTACACTTTTTGCTATACTTTAAATACTGGCATGTAGCTAACCTTTATTTCCTCAACAACAAATGTAGTTAAGACTGATGAGGATGTACAGTGTAAACTAGACATTTATAAAAACAATAACAAAGGTGATCATGTATTGTACATAGTGTTATTACTAAATCAGTAATTTACTAGATCACTGTTATAAGTATCATATGGAACACCAAGTTCTTAAAATCCAATTAAAGATGGCAAAAAAAATGTCACTACCTGGGACCAGCCACTACACATTCACAAGAGTGGTCACCATACAGATGATGATTATCTTCATTTCTGAGAAATCTAGGACAACTTTTACTGTAACTTACACCTTACAGTTCAAAAGGTAACTAATGCTGCTCTTACTTAAATTGATGGTTACAGCTTTTTGGGCTAGGATGGGGTGTTAGGAGGAGGGGTCGCTATTTACAAGTACATGTACAGTACCATACATCAGCCAATCCAAAGTAATAAAACAAGTTGGCTTGTTTCAAAATAGACAGAACTAGCAAGTGTTAAAATTTGTTCAAAAGATGTTTACATGTAGAGTTGAACCCTGCTATTTCGAACTTGCAGGGGAAACAAATAATAGTTTGAAATAGCAGGAGTTTGAAATAACTGATAGTGATTGACTGAGGGGCAAATCCAAGGGAAACAGTTATGAGTTCAAAATAACAGGGAATTTGAAATAACAGAGTTCGAATTAGCAGGGTCCAACTGCATATAGTACAATGTACAATGTACAGTGCCACTTTTGGCCACTCAGTACATGTACTTTTGGGACTCAACTGCAATAACAAATGCCTTCAGAGCATTTGGGCTGAAATTTGGTCAGACTGTGTATTTGAGACAGTCATACCTTAAGTTTGGTGTACTCATCTGTCATTTTGTTCATCTCTGCAGTCGACTCTTCAAGTTCCTTCTCAGCACTTTTGATGCGGTCTTCTAATTCATCATTGGCTTCTTGAAGAATCTACATGTAGCAAGATTGCATTACTTATTTAAGTCATGTGCAGTAACTACCTACCTGTACTTTCTACAGTCAAACACTGTATATTTTAATTATCATTTAGAGCCACATCTCAGGAATTTTCATATCCCATATAGATGTAATATAATATTTAACTCATGTCTTTAGTATCTTTATAAATAGTTTTTACTTTTTTAACATTTAAACAAACAAACTGTAAGGGTTGACCACCTTATATTTTGTTATATATATTTCTTATCAGAGCCTCTGTTAATAAAACCATAGAAGAAGAGCCCTAAAAATAAATGCTACATTACTTAGTCAATACAGTTTTGCAATTTACAAAAAAAAAAAAAAATTTGGTGGCATCTGCAGATATTACAAAGTTCTTAATAACAAGTTCCTCAGTAAAGAGTTTGAAATAGAACAACATAAAAAATAATAAATAGTGTTCCTACTGTACATGTAGTGATGACAAAATGATACACACCTCATAGAAAGAACATTTTTTGAATGAAAACGTATTTAAGGTTCTTTACTAAGGAGCCCCAAGGTCAACATAGTCTTAGAAAGGTTTACTGCACATCTGTACAGACACAGAATATAAGATAATTTATCACCTTTATTTCATCCAGATACTCAGTTAACTCCTTGTTTTTCTTTGACATCTTGTCTTTAAAGTCAGAATCATCTCCACGGCGCATAACCATACTCTCTCTCTAGACAACCATAAGACAAGAACACATAATTTGCTGTGGAAACATATGATGAAATGTGAAGAAATAATGGTGATATTGGTGCTAAGTATGCTTCATTTCCTCCTCCCATCCTCGATGCTTCAATGCTCATGAGTAATAAAGGCAAATAGCAAGATTAAATATGTTTAAATATTTAATTATTAAGTGATGTCTGATTCTATGATGGTATCATATTTGTTTGTTTAATTAATTAATTAAGCAATTAATTAATCAATTAGCTAGTTAATGACAGATTCATCCGTGGTTTGTCATACCTGTTGCTCAATCTGCCGTTGCAAATCTCTCATGTCCATCTTACTCCTATCCAACTAAAATAATAATAAAAAAACTTGCAATAAATTTTTCAATTACTGTCATTATTTGATTTAGCACTCCCCCATTTCTATTAGCACCCTGTTCCAATACGCAACCCAACAGCCAAAGGGATATTCGAGGCATTGACATAGAATAGACTAATTAGACAAACAAATTATGAAGTCTGCTTTCTCATCTGAATGTCATTAAAAGAAAAACACTCGCCTGGGACAAGCAAAATTTAAGAGCTACTTGTCCAAGAGCAAGCTGGAATTCAAGTTTTTTTTAAAACCCTGACAGAACCAGTACAGGCTGTTTTCAACATAATGGAGGCACAAGGAAAGATAATTTGCATTTTTGATAATTGAAAAACTGAGTGACGTCCTTCTTCTTCCAGTGCTTCCAGAAGAAAAAGAAAACATTTTCCTATGTCTCTATAGAGTTATAGATTGAAACATATTTTGTGAAAGTTTGGGAGAACTCAAGAGAGCCGTGGAAACACTTGCTTGTAGCTCTTATTCTCACAGCATTCCTTATTTTAAAATCCTGACAGAGCCACTACAGGCTGTTTCTAACATAATAGAGGCACAAGGAAAGATAATTTGCATTTTTGATAAATGAAAAAAAAAAAAAATGAGTGGCATCCTTCTTCTTCCAGTGTTTTCAGAAGAAAAAGAAAACATTTTTCTATGTCTCTATAGAGTTATAGATTGAAACACTTGTGAAAGTTTGGGAGAACTCAAAAGAGCCATGGAAACACTTGCTTGTGGCTCTTATTCTCACAGCATTTCTTATTCTCATAGCTAAACTTTCACTTATTTTTCTATAACATGATAGAAAGATGGAAAATGTTTTCCATTTCTTAAATATTTGATGCCTACAGTTCCTTTAAAATCTACAGTAGAGTGCTTACATCTTTCTTCAAGTTCTTGTTTTCTCTTTCAACCTGATCCAGTTTGGCAACCATCTAAAGAGTTCAAATTGTATTTAATAGTTATTTTTTGAAACCTTATTATAAAAAAAGTAAATCTTACATATGGTTCTATATGGTCTTCTGAAATGTCAAGGGCAAATAAATCTAACTGCTTGAGTTCCACCATGTGGCTGTACCAGTGTTGTCATTTTAATATTCCAAACACATTGTGACTGAATGTAAGTTTAAACTACCAACTAGTACCTGATCATTTTTGTTTTTTTCTTGGAAGAAGGCTTCTTCCTTTTCATTTAACTCTTGTTCCAAAGCCTGCACAAAAACAAGAGATGCAATGTTGTAGGCAAAATATACAGAGTGATGTTAGCAATATTATCCATTTGGTTCAAGTGAAAACCACTCTTACTAAAGAGCTAGTAATGCACTCATCGTATTAATTGGTGACACGCACCCTTCTCCTGCTTTCAATCTGCTGGATCTCTCTCATAAAATCTTCCCCTCCAGCACCTTCATATTTCTTCAAAGACAAACATTGACCAAATAGTTAGTTTAAATACTCATACTTTTAATTAAAAAAAATATATTATAACATTTCCACATGTTATACAAAAAATGTTGTCCCACATTAATGTGCTCATACGTTACTGTATAATGACTCTGTAACTACGATTGTCTCTTAAGTTTTTGAACACAACCGTCCTTAACAAATACATGGCTTTGTGTATATGGCAGGTAATTGTGCGATGATCACATTGCATATACTGCATTGCTAGGTAATGATAATAAATACAATGCCACAACTAAAGCTATACAAAAACATAGGCACAACATCTCCTTGGAGCATGTGTAACTGCTGACCACTGCATGACAGTGAGGGCACTGCTCTTTGTTTTAAACTTACCGGTAGTTAAAAGTTCTGCATTTAATTGCATAATTCAAGTCAAGAAAAAAGAAAGACAACCCTTTAATACACAAGAAAGAAAACAAGTCTTGCAGTCATGCGCCATAACCTCCCATTATAGTAATCCTCCTTACTAATCTGCAGCACCCAAAATAAGCTTGTCCAAAACTAAGCCTCACTAATATCAGTTTCAAAAATCCTTCTGGTAATTGGCCTTCCCTCTTAAATTATACAAGCCCATGGATAAGCAGTTTATATTTAGATTAGCTCTTGAAGAAAGATAAATTATGAATTTTTCCAACTCTAAGCTGCGTTACATGTAGTACAGTCCAACCTCTTGTTGTGACCACCTCTTGTAAGTGACCACCTCTCCTTAGCGACCAGATTTCCAAATACCAAGAGTTTCCGAGTCAAATCACTGGCTGTGTTTTCACAACAACCATTGTCTCGCTTAACATTCCCGAAGGTGTTTTGTTTACAGACTTCATCAAGCAACTTAAATATGATAGGTGTTTTCACGAGTTAAATTAAATTTCATCAACATAATTTGAGCACAGCGCACTGACCAGTAAATCAGTTTGATTAACATGGCGGGAGAT